GACTTTGTCAGTTGTGTTGATGAAATTAATTTGACGGGTAAGCATATGATTTCGTTAGATGTTTGTTCATTGTTCACAAATGTACCACTAGTAGACACTTTCTGCTATCTATGCAAGTATATTGATTTAAATAGCATGAGCATTGGCTTACTAACTGAATATGTTAAACAACTATTATTGAGATGCACACTGAATGTGCAATTTAGATTTAATGATGTCATCTACAATCAAAGGGATGGAGTTGCCATGGGGTCTCCTTTAGGACCGCTCTTAGCGGACGTCTTCATGGCAAGCTTAGAGAATGACCCACTAAAGGAAACCATCGATAGTTTCTTTATGTATGTAAGATATATTGATGATACCTTCATTGTATGTGATGAAAACTCTTCAACTGCCGAACTTCTTAGAATATTTAATGGTTCTCATCCATCTTTGCTTTTCACGGTCGAAGAAGAGTCGAACTCCTCGTTTCACTTCCTTGACGTTAAACTAGATAGAGGAGAGAATGGAACGCTGTTAAGGTCGATTTACCGAAAGCCAACATTCACTGGACAGTACACTAACTTCAAAAGTTGGGTATCTTTAGAAAGAGAAATCTTATTCATTCCTTATGCTCCAGAATTCGTAAAATCTGCTCTGCAGAGACAATCGATAGTGAACTAGATAACCTTTGATCAAATCTCCTTAACAACGGTTATCCCAAAAGGTTCATTGAACGTAACATCAAGAAAGAATAATAATAATGATTTACTTTATTCCAAAAACAGTACTTGTGATACAGAATGGAATTTTCAGCATTAATCACAATATTGCATCTAATTTCCTCAAATTATAAATAAAATTAATCACACAGAAAATTTTCCACATTTACAATAGAGGTAGTGTCAAAAACATGCAGCATATAAAATGGAAATAATAATAATGATAACAGCTAGGGTAATAATAATAATAATACAAGTGAAAATTGCCGTTGGCTTGTGTCACACAGTATTGGCAATGTGGTATAGAAATCCTAACATGTTTAAAAATATTGAATATAATGTTCTCTTTACATGATATGGTGAGGGGAAAAACAAAGATTACAGCCGTCATGGAGATAAGTTGGTGTTTGCAATTATGAGAGTAAAACAAAGAAGTAACAGGACCATAAATATAATAGAAGTAATAAAAGTAAAACTTGAAGGTATATAAGGATGGATGGATGGAGGAAATTGTTTATTTACTAGATGAAAAAAGGTTAGTTAATTCTTGCCTGACACTATTTTCATCACATAAAATACGTGCCAAGTATGGTATCATAGAATTTTATACTTAGACGTGCGAGCATACAGTTTTCTGAAGTTACTTTTTGTTCTACCTGAGGAGATGCAAGGTGAAAGCTGAGGGTAAAGCGGATGCTCCAAGTCAGACAAAATCCCTTTAGCAAATTTATTGCACGAAGTCAAGTGCCTATCGACAACGACGTTAACTATGTGGTCCACTGGGACACCACTCACCCTACTGACAGTCTTCAGTATTCTACGAATTGTGACATAGTCCTTTTTAAGCAAACCAGGAAAGAATAAGGGTGAGCAATAAAGAAGAATAGGTAGGATGCAAGAGTTTATGAACTGTAAGAGGAGGGGTTGAGTTATACCCGAGTGTCTTAACTTCTTAATGTAAAATGTCAGGCGGAATATTTTACTGGAGATTGCTAAGACATGGGAAGACCAGGAGAGATCAGAAGAGAGAATGAGTCCAAGATACTTAATTTCTGATTTGATTCCTATATCATTGTCGTCAATTTTACAACTGTCATGAGAATCGATGACTTCTTTTAACTGTCGTTTACATCTTAAGCTGAAATCAACAGTTTGACACTTAGAAGGATTCAGTTTAAGACCGTTAGACTCAGACCATTTGCTGACTTCCGATAGAAAGCTATTTATTTTAGTACAATCTAGCTGGGAGTTAACAGCCATTGAAACCGTTAAATCATCAGCGTACTTCACAAAGTTTATTTCATCAGAGTGAGGCAAGTCATGCAAGAAGAAAGAAAAAAGAAAAGGAGAAAGAACAGCGCCTTGAGGGACACCAGCTTCAGTAGGCAATGAAGTGGAAGACTTCCCTTTATATACGGTGTACTGCTTTCTATCTGAGAAATAGGAATATAACCAGTTAACAGCCCAACATTCTGTTTGACTAGCAGCAAGTTTATTTAATAAGATGTCCCTAGGGACCGAGTCGAAAGCAGATGTATAGTCTAGGAAGGCACAACGAACAAATTTAGCCCCCTTGTCTAGACTGGAAGCAATGTTATGATATAAGACGGCAGCTGCATCTAAAGTGCTTCTACTGTGCTTATAGGCAAATTGTTTAGGGTCATTAAAGGATTTAAGCGAAGGTTCAAGACTAAGTAAAAGTAATTTCTCCATAGTTTTCAAAAAAGGAGACGTAATAGCAATGGGTCTAAATTTGACACATGCTCCAGTAGAAGATTTAGGTATGGGTACAACTTTAATGTCCTTCCAAACGGCAGGCACAATATTATCGGAAAAAGATTTGTTAAATAGATCAGTAAGAGGGTGACACAGAATATCAGAACATTTTTTAAAAATAATACTAGGTACATAATCGGGACCTAAGCTCTGGGAAGGGTTTAGAGACTTGAGGCACTTTTGAACATCATTTGTGTTAAAACCTGGAAAGGGGCTATTATTAACACAAGTGATGCTGGGAAGCATGGCATTTGAGTGAGAGTAAATAAAATAATCCGCCCCTAGAGAAATCACAGTGCCAAAGAAAAAAAACTGTTTATGAGTCTTGCATTCAAAGGTGACACCATTTCGGAATTGATTAAAAATCGTTTATCTAGATGTATTAAACGCTCTTTTCCTGCAGCTGACTTAACAACTAGTTTTGACCAGCCGAAATATGATTAGACAATGCGCGTCAAGGATAGATTACCGCTTATGTCCACATCTGTGTGCATTTACTCTTCTACCTGCTCTTGTGGAGCTGATTATATTGGACGTTGTAAGCATGATCTCTGAAAACGTGTAGCTGAACACTATCCGGTTTGGTTAATGAAAGGCGGCGAACGTAGAACTGCAAAGTCGTCTATATGTGATCACCTGTTCGAGTCTGATCAATCAGCGTCATGTGATTCATCTTTCAAAGTTATCTACATAGCAAAATCAAAAATCGCTCCAAAAGTTTACGTTTTCTTCACTTATGCATAGCTAGCCGAAGCTTTAGCTATTAAACATGAACAGAAACCTAAATTATGTGTTCAAAAACGTTTTGTCAAACCCCTTTCTTTACCTTGGTCATAATAATGTTCTTTCTAGTTTTTATTTTATTTTACCACTTGAACTCTTTACACTTCACTTCACATCTTCATTCTTATCGTAATCGCACTCCTAATTTTTTTAAAATTTTTAGACAACGCTTGACATTTTTGTTTTATAAAATATTTTTGGTATGATTTAACTATAAACCAATCTTTAATAATTCTGTAGTTCATTCACTTCAACTCTACCCCTTATAACAACATCTAAAAAATTAATAAAGAGGTAAGAGGTGAGAAAAATAGACTTAGGTCAAGTTAAAAGGACATATTCAAGGTCAAAAAATAAAAGTGAAGACCTTGAATATGTCCTTTTAACTTGACCTAAGTCTATTTTAATTATCGTTATTCTTATCACATGTGTATGTATATTGACTGAGCAATTATTTTTAGTGTCACTTAATAACCTTTTTCTGTAATATAATATACGACTGTACAGTTGGCTTGAAAATGAAGTCGTTGATAGAAATTTCCTCGCTGAACAAAGAAAACGCAAGAAAAAAACACGAATCCCGGTGGATGCGTACTGTTGAAGAGTCACAAACTAGGACGAAACAACTGTCCAGTACTCCTAGGTGGTTTTCCAATGGTTCTCTAACTAATGTCAGCTCATGATGAAATCCTGAAAAATTACAAAAAATTACAAACAAGGAAACAAGATATTTAGTGACAATAGATATATGTATGTATGATAGTAGTGTTAGTGTTCGTAGAATAACGGGAGTACAAAAAAAATAGCGTCACAATTACTAATAACATTTAAAAGTTTTTTTGTTTATTTGTTGATTTCTGAATTCGTATACTCGCTCAGCTGTGTTCTTTTTGTCTGTTTGTTTTTGATTCTGTTTGAATCGATTAAGTCTAGTCTAGCATCTCTCTTTGTTTATTTGCTTACCATCAGAGGATTGATGTATACGTGGGTAGGTGGGTGTGTGTTTGTGTGTGTGTGTGTGTGTCGAAAGGCGGCGGAGGAGGCGAGTGTGGGTGTATGGAAGTAATTTATTGTTCTAATCTGTGCAGCAGCAACGAATAAATTAATGATTATGACAATATGATTAAATCCTCCATACAATCAAACCAAATCCCTACAAAACCAACACTTGAAGACTATGACAATAATGATAATTATAGTAATAATAATAATAATAATGACAAAATAATGAATTCTTGTGAGGAGGTGAGCCTTTCTGCCTTCTTTCTGTTTGTTAGTCAATTGTGTGCGTGTGTACGTACGTGTGTGTCACTGGGTGGATGCGTGGGTGGGTATTTCACATACATGCACACATACGAAGATAGATAGACAGACAGATAGAAAGATGGATAGATCGATAGATAGACAGACATAAATGACACCATGGATATCATCTCCGATGGGTACGTATTTATTTATGCGAAAGAAGGTTTACAAAGAAGTCGACAAGGAGACAAAATAACTCAGAAACAAAACAGGAAAGGCAAATGAGAAATGAATCAGCCGGTGTGTGTGTGTGTGTTTCCAGATGTTGTTCGAGTGAGTGAGTCAGTCAGTCAATCAATCAATAAATGGGTGACCGGATAAATAATTTGAAATAACCGCGATAACACCACACTTCATTCATAGAATATACGCCCATACATTTATGGCTGCATATGTCTGCGTATATATTTATATATATTCGCGTGGGTGGTTCAGCGTGTTGGTGGATGTGTGTGTGGACGTGTGTGTGTATGTGTGTGTATGTCTGTACCACTAGCTGTACATATATTTTCTCACAAACAAATGCGCGTGGGTGTGAGTGCCTACTGTGTATGTGTGTGTCTACCTTTAGCTGAATACACGCACGCACACCTACACACTTACGCACACATAGACATACATAGGGGACTAAATGAAACAAATACAAAAATCTCGATTACTATTGATATTTTTAATATTTTTATTATTATTGATGTTCATTTAATCAATTAATTATCTCAATAATACACTGATTACAATTCAATAAAAATAATGGATATATAGATAGATAGACAGAGATAGACATACAAATTGAGAAACAATCAAATAAATGAGGATTATTTTTTGGATATCTTAGTTATCGAAGAAGATAATAATGACGGGGTGGAGTAAAAAAATAATATTAATAGTAGTAGTAATAATAATAATAATAATAATAATAGTATGAATGACAATTACAAGCAATATATGTATGACAATGATAACAATGACAGGAATAATAATAACATAACAATGTAGGTAGTTCTAACACATGAGTTTTTTAAGAACATACACACATATATTACTTAAATAAGCATGAAATCTAGTAAAATATTTTATCAATTCTAAACTGGACATAATACACATACACTTACATGCAAAAGAAATATAATAGTAATAATAATATCATTGTAATTTGTGTGTGTGTGGAACACAACAATCTTTCGTTGTCAGCTTAGATACAGTGTTGCCTAGGTGATTCGATTCAATGATCACTTCATCATCTGTTTGAGTAAGTGACATGTACACGCAAAAGCACAGGTGCCCACACACACGCACGCACACGCACACACACGGACACAGACACAAAAGTAAACGATCAATGTTTGGTTTCAAACGGCGTTTTAGAAAAAAAGGCCCAAAACAAACAAAAAGACATCAGAAAATAAGTTGGAAAAATATATTCTTCATTTCGTCTCTGAGTTCGAATGAAAATCAATACATACTTGTTATGATGAATGCATTCCATCATTACGAGTAGATAAACACACACACACAGACATATATGTGAGTGTGTATGTGTGTGTGTATGGTTGAGCAACACGCACGCACGCCCACACACCCACACAAAACAAAACAACTCATAGATATGCTGACAGTTTGTGATGATAACGAAGATAATAATGGCGCTCACGAGGATGATGTTTAATGATACACACATAAATGTTACATAAATAACACACACACACACAAAAGAGAAAAATAAACAGAAACTTGACACAAAAACAACTTTTTTTGAATTTTTTTTGAAAATCTTCTCTCAAAATTACCGGTAGACATAAAAATATCAATGTGTGTTGTATACACGTACATAAGTGTATGTATAATAATAGTATTGTTTTCTTAAAAATGAATGGCAAGTCTAAGAGGGAGATAGTTCTGGAGCGTAAATGTCACATGGGGGAAGGAAGTCACATCAGATAGTAAGGAGAAGAAGAAGCATATGTGAGGGGAATTGTAAAAAATAAAAATAAAATAATATGAAAATATCTTCTTGTCTGTTTCTACTTTGTCTGTTATTTCTTTGTTGTATTTCGTCCAACAAGAAGACGACTTTGAAGTAGCTTTCTTTGTTTCTTCAGACTCCATGAACACCCAATCGACCACCCACCCACCCACCCATCCATCCATCCATCCCAGTATCCCAGCAACCTTCTCCTCACAAATATGCAGCTATTAAAGATACTCAAAAGACACCTTGATGCGTATATAAATATTTATTTGAAAAAAAAATAATGATGTCAAGTTTCAGTAATGCAATGCGAAATACCGGTATTTATATATGTGGACGCATGGGTGTGTATGTGTGTCTGTATGAGGGTGAATATATGTACGTAAATAAGTCGTCCATCTATCCATCTATGCAGGTATGTATGCATGTGTGTATGCGTTTGAGTAGTATTATGAAAAAAATAGCAATAAAAAATGACAGGTAATGAGTCAGTGAGTCAATGAATGACTGAGGTATCATAATTTAATTATTGATTTATGATTTCAGCAAATGATCTAGTTCAAAATATAATGAATCTTTGAAACAAAAATATGTGTATGTATTTATATTGATTATTATTATTATTTCTTGGTGAATTGATGACCACAATGAAGATAATGACGATGATTGGGATGATGAGGATGACGAATAAACAAACAAACAAACAAACGCAAATAGTCACATAATTTGTACGCAAGTGTACGCGTGTTGGTTACCACGGTAACTACCACTGTCTGTCACCACTTCCAGCTGCAAGCTTATTTTTGTGTTATTTATTGTTTACCTACTTAAATACATTATTAAGTAGTACAATCTATTTTCGAAGAAAACATGTCACTCCATTTAGGGCAGTTGATCTTTTTGTTCGGATAATAATTACATAATCAGATGTCAAATGAATATAATAATTCCAATGTTTTCTCAATGTCATTGATTCATAGGTCATTTATGATTAATCAATAAATATATGTATATGTATATGTAACGATGGTGGTACATGTATGTATGTTTTGTTTTTCTGTGACCGGGATATTTGTTTACGCAATGAATGAATAGATGCGCACATCAAAATAACTTAGACGTTTCTTTTCTCTTTCAAATAAGGCGAAAATAAGACATGAGAAACATTCATAAAAAGAAGAAGGAATTTAGAGTGATGAATATGAATGTCTGTGTCTGTTTGTGAGCATATACATAAATGAGAACCTAGGGGATGAGTGGTTGGGATGGGTGGTAGTGTTTTTAAAAAAAACAAAACGAATGCATAAATCCTTTTGAACTGTACACTCACTCAGTCAGTTAGGATTTTTACGAATGATATTTTGATTTGTTATTATTACTGCAATGATTTTTGAAATTTAACTTAAAAAGCTGAGAAATAACATTGTCTATCATTTGTTGATGTGATATCTGCCTTCTGGATACCATTTGATGTGAGGATTACATCATCAGCGTTAGGATCAACATGATTATTATTGTTTTTGGCCTTGTGAACAACACCGTCACGGATATTTTCATCGTCGAGATGATCAGTTCCATTGTCAAGAGGACTGTTCAACGATGATGACAAGGAGACGGAGGAGGAGGGGGATGCTTCATTAACATCTCCATTCAACTGATCCGATTTTGTATATTTATCATTTGCTGATAACTTTCCACGATGATTTATTAACTGTTGATGATGATGATGATGATGATGACGATTTTGACGGTGTGAATGATCCAGGGGGATTGTATAATCGATTTGCGTTTATCGATTGCCTCTTTAACACAGTCATTATCAGCTCCATCAACATCATCACCATGATTTACTGGTAAATGTTGTGGTACATACTGATGTCGACGTCGACGTTTAGCAGAATTTAAATGTTGTGCTACTACCGATGCTGATATTGGTGACGTCGACGTCGAATTCAATTGATGTTGTTGTTGTTGTGAATCTTCTTCTTCTCCTTCTTCTGATATCGATTTTCTGTCATCATTATCATTATTAATATGGTGATTAGTATTCATGGTATTTGTGGGGGATTACCAACGTTGATCGTGCTATTGTCGTCGCTGAGGCTCCTTATCCCCACACAGTCAATACTATCAGTGTCTATATCATTATGTATATCATTATTATCATTATGATCAATACTGTGATCATCATTGCCATCATCTTGATGATCGGGATCATGATTATTATATGCATTTAATAATTCTCTATTTGACCAACTACGCTTTAATGATCGGTTATTAGTGTTATTAGGATTTATGTTGTGATTGTTGTTGTTGTTGTTGTTGCTAGGAAACAGATTTCCCGCATCAATTGATTTCAGTTTATCCATTGTATATTGATTATTTGTTTGAATTTTTAATGGATGATCTCCTCCACCAAGAATTGATTCAATTCCAATACTCGTTGACAGGGTATTTGTTTCACATTCCGTAGGATTATTATTAGTATTATTATTATCATGATTATTGTCAGTGTAATTGATATTTTCCAATCCAATTGAATTAATTTCATCTGTCATCACAGGATCAATACACGGGGAAGACGACGACGAGGAAGATAGCGATGCTGATGCCGACGATATTGATCGATTATGAAGAATATTTCCACCATTATTATTATTATTACACTGGAGTAGATCAGTCGATGTTGGGGATAAACTATTTGGTAGGATTGCGTTTTGATTAAATCTAGAAGATTTATGCGATGAAATCAACAGGTCTTTAGGATCTTCATCAACATCCTCGTGTTGGGTTGACTTTAAACCGACATCATCATCATCATTATTATTACTGTTTGAATTGGCATGGAATAAAAAATCATACATATGATTCGGTGTACTGATATCTGTCTTATTCATGATAATATCATCCTCATTCTCATTTTCATCCTCACCGCCATCGTCGTCAACTTCTTCTTCTTCTTCCTGTTCTTCTTGATTTTTTCCTCTGTTAGGATGATGGTGTTTGATAGCGTCGGTGTTGATTTCGGTGTCAATTTCGATGGGATTCTTTTTATTCCCTTCTTCATTATTATCGTTGTTATAGGCGTTTAAAACATCATCAGTATTATCGTTATGCCTATCGTTGTACCATTTTTCACAATTCTCATGACTGTCTTCCTTAATATTCATTCTCTGACATTCATTGGCTTCTATAGTTATATCATCTGTTGTGTTTAACAGTTGACTTGGTGATGTACACGGTGAAGATGTCAACTGACCGACAACATGACTAGATAGTAATGATTGACTGGAATGATTTTGTACAGGCAAAGGTATATGCTCTTCTTGATGATGGTTCTGATGATGGTGTGGATGGGTGTGCTGCCGTTGAGTTTCTGACTGTACAGTTGGATGGTGGTTAGCGGTTGTACAGTTAGTCTGATTATCATTGTTATTATTATTATTGTTAATATATAACGAATTTGATTCCCCCAACTGTACAGAATGTTGTTGATGAGCTGGAGGTGGAAGTAATGCATGTCGATGTATACCCTCATTATTTAACGAACCGTTAACTGCAGTCACTGACTGTGTTGTTCCCGTTGTAGGTGATGGAGTGATTGAGGTAGTAGAAGTAGTGATAGGCGTTGAAATATATCGATCCATTGTTGAATTCACCATTCCCCCTGTTGGTGCTATTGTTACTGATGATACCGATGATGAACTACTGATGGCGGTACATTCAGTTGACGGGGAACAAATTCGCTTTGAAGTAGTAGTAGTAGAATTAGACAAACGATGCTGTGTTAAATTTAATAAATGTTGTTGACATTGTGATGAATCATTTACTCCTGGAGATAATGATGACGACGCTGATGAAGATGAAGAAGATGGCGATGCTGTTGACTTAATTGATGTCGAGTGACGTTTAGATGATGAATGCGGAAGAGTAGTAGTGTTATTTGTACGTTGATTAACTTGAATATGTTGTTGTCCTTGAGGAAGTTGTTGCTGAGGTTGGTGATGGTGAGGGTGATGTTGATGACCGTACAGCTGTTGTTGTTGTTGTTGTTGGCTTTGATTATGATGATTCGGTGAGGATAAATTTGAATGTCCATATGAATTCATGTGTTGATGGCTTTCCTCTTGAAAATGTTGATGACGATGTGATGACGTAATACACTGTTGTTGTTGTTGTTGTACAGCTGCAGTTAAATGTTCACTACTCGATCCATGAATCATTCCGCCTACTGGTAAATGATGAAATAATCCTCCTACGCTTGTTGTAGACATTGAACTATAATTCAATGCATTCCCATTTCCATTATTATTATTATTGTTATTATTATTATTATTATGTAATAGGTCACATCCTGTATTCGGACTATTACTATTACTATTATTCGTATTATTGTTATTATTATTCCCATTAATTCTTGCATCATTTAATGTTGAATTAAAAAAACCGCATGAATTGTCAATATCACCGCCAACACCAACAACACGATGATTATTAAGATTCATACCATTATTATTATTATTGGCATTAGTGTTACTATTGGCAACAGCTGCTGCTGCAACAGCCCTTAAATGCAAGTCTTGATGTGCATGTGCTGCAACCATAGCCGCCGCTGCTGCTGCTGCTCCATGTGGATGACGTCCACCAGTAGTAACACCTCCAAGACCACCCATATGTGTAACAGCTGCTGCAGCATTCGAATCGATAACCTGTCCACCACGAGTAAGTGCTGAGGCGGCTGCAGCAGCCATAGCAACTGAATGATTATGAAATCCAGCAGCGAATATATTATCCATACAGGTTTGATTTCTCAGATTTATCACACTAGTATTATTATTATTACTACTACTGTTAGTGTTATTAGTAGTATTATTGTTATTGTTGTTGTTGTTGCTGTTGTTATTACTATTGTGACTGTTATTGCCCCGCGTATTGGAGCCATTGCCATCAGCACCAGCTGTAGCCGCCGCCTCTTTATGCCGATCAACATGTTTAGCTAGATAGGTTTCTGAATTATAAGATTTTGTGCAGATAGGACATACTAGGACCTGGATTGTTAGAAAGTGGAGAAAACAAACAGTGATTAATTGAATTAATAAAATACTACAGAAGAACAGGTATGTTACAAAATTTTAAAAAAGAAAATGTGATCATTTTGTAGTGACAGAAGACAGCGGCCAGGCAGTAGATTGTTTATTGAGAAAATCGACAGATATTAATCAATTTTTACATACATTATTGTCAGCAGAGAAGTAACGTCTTCTGATTGGTTGTTTTGCTGCTCAAGGTTATTCTGTACTGCTTGTAACAGTTTCTCAGAAAGTTGAGCCATGTATCTACGAATCATATTTGCACATGTTAAGTCTGCTATGATTGGTTGTTGAGTTGAGTTCCTCAAGGTTAAGCTTTGTTATTGTGTTTTTTTTCTCATGACCCTGATTTGGGACGTGAAAATTGACGTGAATTGTTGTCTATAACTTTTAGCTAGCAGACAGCTCTCACTCACCACAAGGTGAGTAGGAAATATCACCACACCCCACCACCCTCTAATTCTTCCGCTTCTTCTTCGTTTTTTCTTCTTACAAGCAGCAAGATTTCATGAACCACAGACAGTGTCGAATGATTCGATCCCGTCAAATGTAAGAGGATAAGGCTGCAGGATTGGATTACGCCAACTTGTTCCCAGCTGGCTTAAAAATGGACAGGAATGAAGTGGTTTGGTAAAGTGTATTGACCAATTCACTTATTTGTAGAGTTGTATTAGCCAACGTTAGCGAACTGATCACTGAAGAAATCACAGCATGGATAAAGAAGGCTCATTTGTCTATGACCTGTCAACTTACACCATCTCTGGCTTAATAGACGTGATATTTGGACTGTATACTGCTTAGCAGTAGTTCGATATGTCCCCTTTAATCGTTGTGAGTGAGACATGATTATTGAAAGTGGAAGCTACGAAATAGATAGCTAGTTGTCTTTGATCCTAGGTGTCTGCGTTCTATCTCCCATGCAAAATGGTATAATTGGGTGAGAAATTTTGAGTTTATGCTTCGGTCAAGTGTTAGAGGGTTAAGAAGAGAAATCAATCGATGAGGCTGTGAATTTAGGACATGTTTTACACATACATACGCCTAGATATCGACCGTCTTCCACGATCAACGGGCAATGTTAGCTGACTGACATAAGATGGATCAGGCTGGAAAAGAGAAGGCCGGTGGTGACAAAGTCACAAGCAACATGTCTTCATCAGTCAATGAAATCCGCAATAGTTAGTTTAAGCCAGCCAACTAGTCGTGTATAGGGAGGTGTAGAATTCTTGGCTAGTTGGGGTCCTTGGGATGGTAAACACCAGTAGTGGCTGGAAACAACTGGTGGGTGATATGGCTCATAATCCTCGTTCTCAATGGTGGCGCAGATGGATTTACTCCTTGTGACTTATAGTATCCAATAAAACTTTATTGTGCGTCGGTGGCACAGTGGTTGGAACTCTCGCCGACCACGCATATGGTCCGGGGTTCGAGCACCCGCTGACGCACACCTGATATCTATGGTCGGCCTGCGAAATTTGGCCTACCGATATCCATGCTGAAAATTCCATACTTGTACCAAAAAATACTGTGTGGAATCAAGCTGTAAATAAAAAAAATCAAAAAAGTTCTTCCATAGAACTATTCTTTTTGCCTCATATTTCTGTTTACTGTCCTTCCAGCTCTTCTAATTGTCTATTTACTCTCTTCTCTTTTGTGCCATAAGGAATGCGGCAATTCGAATTACTCCACATGTGTGCAAAGTTTGTATGTTGAAACCAATCAACTGACTCATGTGAGACATAACCGCCTTTTGTAAACAACCGAATTTGTTCAGAGTTCACAGTAGTCATACCATGCCAACATGTCATTTAAACAGCCCACAGCAATTCTAACACTCTCTTGACAATAAAACTCAATATAACGATCTATTTATAGAAAAGCGATCTGGACAGGACAGTATCTGAATCACCACAGTTTCTGTCCTGTTCATTAGAAAAGAGCCTTAGTAGGCGAGGTGCCTCTTCAGTAGAATCCAACGAATATGCACTGAAGACAGACACACTTGATGAAGAAGAAAGTGGAACACCGAGACCCACTGTTCAACTCACCAATAAGAAAGACACGTGTAAATCAAGCTACGCTATATGGGGGATCATAGTAGCTTGATAACTAGACAAAGATTGAACTGTGTTGTGGTTAAAAAGACATTTTATGCAGCTAATATCATAATAGTAATTGAGAATGTGAAGTCAATATATCCATCCATCTAAGCCCTCAGAAAATGCGAAAAATAATATCATATCTCACTGTATTTACCAATTTCAATGTATATGTAACCACACATACACACGGAAAGGACTCATCGATCTCTGCAAGTAAAGGCTCTAGCTTCAGAGGATATTCCTAAATGGCTTTGGAAACAAATTCAGTCTCTCCCTCCAGAACTCATTGATGGTGAAAACAGAAGACCTTGTTGCTCCTCTAATGGCAAACATATTATAGAGACAGGATATAAAATTGATGTTTACACGTCTTCTAAACCTAGCGTCGGTGGTATAGCGGTTAGGACGCTCGCCGACCATGCACATGGTCCGGGGTTCGATCCCCGGCCGGCGCACACCTTTACCTCTCTAAGCCATAAATAATTCTGGTAAAGAGGAAGGGTTGGGCATGAGGCTAGCAACCCCATCCTGTAAAATAAACTCTGCTACAGAAACTGCAAGCTACTAGCTTGAAGCCCTATGTTCCACTGGGGAACGTGAAGGAAAAAAAAAACCTATCCAAAGAACGTGTTTGTACCAGTTCAAGACGAGTGGCGAGCATTTGTCCTCACACCTGATCTGCTACACGCATAAATCGCTTATGAGCTCTCTGGCCTTGTAACCAGAAGGTCCTAGGTTCAAAATCCGGTCAGTGGGTACGTAGTGATGAAGAGTTTCAAATTAGGCGGACGGAACAGTCGTCCGGTACTCCCCAAAAAAGCCAATTTTCCAAGTTTTCATCTCTACTCGATATAAGCTTATGATGAAATCCTGTAACCAATCAGTCAGGTCCCTCCTTAATTAATTAATTAATTAATTGATAGGCCACATTATTCTATGCAAGATAGACACACACATTTAAATAAAATAACTAAAGAAATTTAATATACCACTGATATTGAATTAGTTAGTAGTATTGCACACTATGACGGCATCAATACTGGCTGGTAGTGATTTTTTTTGGCTTATTTTGTTATTTTAACAATCCTGTCTAACTTAGTCTGTAATGCACTCCCGCTTTGGGGGGGGTTTTCACCGTCGTCTATCTGTCCGACTGTCTGTCTGTCTGTTTTGGTATTTGCTCTTCCAAACAAAACCTGTAATTTAGTTTTTTTTTAAATAAATAAATATTTATAATAAAAGTTTCAAAATTGAATTTTAAATAAATGTTATCCGACTGTCTGTTGACGTAAGCCTCCGTGTCTGCATGTATGTGTGTGTGTGTGTGTGTGTGTGTTAACGTCAACATTTAATGTCTTAAAACTAGGCGAAGGAATGTATATTATACATACGTGTATCAGTTTATCTCAATCTGAACTTTCCCATTTATTGATTGGACCAAAGTGTTCAGGTTCAGGTTGACATGTCGCCGCCTCCTACCTAGTATGGACGCTTCGACAATGCCTCAGGAGTTAAGCTGATGTAATTTTTAGTGGATTAAACACAGGAGTCAGACAAGGGTGCTTATTATCTATCACCAATGATATTCCTAATTGTGGTGGACTGACTGGATTATGCGTCGGACAGTGAGTGGGAAACGAGAAGACAGGAATATCCTGGACCGACGCGAAGAACCTAGAAGACCTGGATTTCGCACGTGGATGATTTGTGTTTGATGTCACACAAAATCGAAGACTTACGAGCGAAAACCGACAAACTGGTCGAAGAAGCAGCCGGTGAAGACAAGACTCCAGATGAACATAGACAAGACGCGGAGGTTATGAAAATAACCATCCAACAACAACAACAACAGCAGCAATATCCAGCCAACAACCAATCACCATCAACGGGAGGAATTTGAGAGAGGTTACTTCATTCACTTATCTAGGTAGTCAGCATTGTCTGAACTACAGTTGGAGGAACGGAAAAGGATATCAAATCGAGAATCAACAGGAAGGCAGGCGAGAAACACATTCATCAACCTGAAACAACCAATCTGGAAATCTTCTTCACTCAGCCAGAATCAACAACAAAGTTCGGTCGGATTTCCAATACAAACAACATCAAGTCAGTGAGTTCTTCTATACGGAACGGATCGGAAACTTGGCGGGCGGACGGACGGGTCACAAAGAATATTTCCAACAGCCTGTTCCAGACCTTTATCAACAACAACAACTGTCTTCGCTGGCTCTATACTGAAGATCAATCAGATGGGCGGGCCGGAAAGAATCACCAACAAGAACGAAGTGTGGGAACAAACAAACAAACAAACAAAGAAAACAAGAACCAATCACCAACCAACAAATATGCAGTTGGAGAAGGCGGAGATGGATGGGTTGGACACTCGCTCGCTGAGGAGGCTGGCCGCTGGGTGACATCGCGCCCGGGTGACAGACCAGTTCTCGAGTGGAACCAGACCGAAAGGGAAGCGGCGAGTGAGACGTCAGTGCAAGGGTGGGTGACATGGAGGAGATCGTGTGAAGAGAGAGGAGTTGAAAGAGTATGGACTAACACGGATGGATGGAGGTGAAAAGTAGAGCAGAAGGAAGACAGAAGCAAGTGGCGTGAGACGTGGAGTTGAAGCCATATGTTCCACTAGGAACAATAATAATAATAATAATGACGCACTCAGTGGAAATACCATTGCTTACTAAGTGACTGCGGAATACAAATACATCGAATGGTTGACGAGTCCCAAATAGGACGAAATGCTTTGCATCTTTGTGGATTCTACTGCTAGTCAGCATCCAACGAATATGTACCTATATATATATATATATATATATATATATATATATATATATATAGGGGTTGGTT